GCAACTCATGCATCGTTGGGGGGTTTAAATCCCCTTCCAAATCCACATATATCATTTATCATGGCCCAATATGAAGGGCTTCTTGCTACTCTGAATGGTATTGAATTCTCATAGAAGAAACGTCCAATTGACCTGCAAATCCGTCTTTTTTCGTTTTTTTTCCAACTCTCATTCAAGGTAACTTGGTGCATTTGATAACCCATCGAACATTCAGCACTCCCGCTACCAATATTTACTTGTTGTATAAAGAAATCAATGGGTTCATGAACTTTTTTGTTTAACTTGACTGCACTTGAGCCTATTAGTGCTTTTTGTAATTGTGAATTGCTTTCAGTAGCAAATGGCTCTTGCATTCCCATTTGACAAACCTCCTCCATTTCTTCGAATGCTCTTCTTTTTCCTCGGTCTTTTTCAACATAAACAACTTCATTTCTTCTTGGATCTCAATGAGAATTCGTAGACAACCTGCAACATTATTATGAGTCTTTGCAAGATGTTTCTTTAGACTTTTAATTCCACCAGTGATCTTCTGACAAACGTTGTAATCAATATATATACAGTACAATCTCTCTAATTCCAATTTCCTTAATTCGAAAACCTCCATAATTCAATTAAATGCACCGTGAAATACGTTTAAGAAACTCCTATGTTTAACTTTCTATAATTCGAATCTCTATCATTCGAAAACCTCCACAATTCAAATGGATTTTTTTGACCCGTCAGTAAGATTCTTTTTTTAAATCGAACTTTTTTAACTTCTAACCATGGCCTATTATATAACACAGCCGGATTTGTTGCCTTGAACGCAAAAAATTAGTGGGCCGAAAAAACACGAGTTTGAAGTTTACAATAAGCCGATTTAACAATCTTAAATTAAATTTTTTTAATTCAAGTAATACTTTATTTTACAATGCCAAAAAAGTGTTGTGTTGTTGGTTGTAGAAGTAATTATAAGCAAAAGATTGAAGAATGTTCCAGTAACAACAGTCTAACTAGTAACACCAGTAACAGCATCTCTTTATAAACCACAAGGACGTCCAATCTACACAAATGAAATCATTAGATTTTCTCTAATGCACAGATATACATCAAAACAGGCTTATACTTTGCTATTAGAAGAGTTTCCACTTCCTTCGTAGTCTTATTTAAAATCACTTTCAAATGGTGGCATTGATCTATTATCAGGATTATTATTACTTTTGGAAAATGGTAGTATTAGTGCTGGCTGTGTTGTTTTAATTGATGAGATGTATTTACAAAAAGGTGTCCAATATCATGGAGGAAGTTTAATTGGTGCTGATGATGATGGTAATTTCTATTCTGGTATAGTTGTGTTCATGGTGGTTAGCTTGAAAGAATCTATCCCCTTTGTAATTAAGGCCTGTCCAGAGTTTCAAACTTCCGGTTCTATGATTAGTTCACATATAAAAGAAACGTTAGAAACTTTATATAAAGCATCTTTTAATGTACGAGCTATAATAACTGACAATCATGCAACAAATGTTTCAGCATTCAAAATTCTACGTTAAAAGTTTGGTGAACAAGATAATGAAATATATTTTACTTTTATGGGACACCGGGTTTACAATTTATATGACAGTGTTCATTTACTGAAAAACATTAGAAATAATTTATTAAATTCAAAACGGTTTGTATTTCCACCTTTTGATTTTATTGAGTTTGATGATATTATTCATGTTGAAGCTAGTGAAATTTCTTGGAGTTTATTGCATAATGTTTATGAGAAAGATGAATTGTTACCTGCTAACTTAAAAAAAGCTTTCAAATTGTCTGCTCAAACTTTACATCCAGGAAACAACCAAGTGTTCCTTTAGCTTTAAATATTTTTGATGAAAACACCTCTGCTGCAATCATCAGCTATTTTCCAAACGAAACTGCAGCTGCTGGATTTCTAAGGCTTATTAATATTTGGTAGACTATTTCTAATTCAAAGGTAATGTTTAATACAAACAATAGGATTGGTAATGCAGCTATTCCAGGTGACAAAAAGTCACAATTTTTTCGAGTTTTTGCAACATGGATTAATGAATGGAAAAACTTGCAGTTTCAAAGATGTAATAAATATACTTTATCTGCTCAAACAACTAATGCATTAATTACAACACTGAAGGGTACTGCAATTCTGATGGAAGATTTATTTTCAGAAGGATATAAATATGTTTTAACTAGCAGGTTTCAAACTGATCCATTAGAAAGACATTTCAGTAAATATCGACAAATGAGCGGTGGAAGATTTTTAGTCAGTTTACGTGAAGTTCAAAGCTCTGAAAAGATATTATGCATGAAATCCTTAATCAAAGCCAATATCAATTGTTGGACGAGCAATCTTAAACTTGATACAAAAATTGACAAAAATGAACTTTTAATAAAATTGGAAAAATATAGCAATGAAATTCAAAAGAATGAGTTTTGTCATGACTCTTACGAAGTTGCAATCAATATATCTGGTTACATCACGAAAAAGATTGGGGATAAATTTAACTGTGCTAACTGTCTGAAATCATTAAGTTTCAATCAAGTCTCAACAGAATATCTGGAAATTCTTTCACGTGGTGGTTTAACAAAACCTTCCAAAGCATTAGCTAACTATGTTTGTAATGGGTTTATAATTCTGGACACTGTAAAGAAAATGTTATTAAAGTATTCCCATGATATAAAAAATGCATCCTTGCTAGCGCTAGAAAAATATCAACCAAGTGATAGTGATTTTATGTGTATAGAACATGAGGAATGGGGAAGGAATTTGGTAAACACAATTATTACCAACATATATTTTAACAATGAGCAACAAATAAAAAATGGAAACATTAGAAAAAATGAAGTTGATGCCTTTAAAGTTCGACAAACCAAAAAAGACAAATGAATAAACCCATAACAACATAGTATATGTATATATTTTTTTTGAGAAACAAAAGAAACTTGACTTGATTAAACTTTTTGTAATATAAATACTTTCAGTAAATGTGTACATTTAAAAATTATGCTAGATTTACTAACATTTTTGTTTATTTTAGTTGTTTGAACCAATAATTTTAAGACTTTAAGGTTTTGTAGATTAAAATTGATGGCTAAAATAGATAGTTCATTCGGCTTAATGCAATCATGATTTATTATTAGCTAACTGTTTTAGTGTTTGAAGGTGAAGAATTTTGTTAATAGTAAAAATTATAGCTAAGAGCAAATTATTTAAATATTATTAATGTCTTTACAGAATTATCTTCAGGTTTTGATTCAAAAACTAAAAACCTAAAATCGGCCCACTAATTTTTTGCGTTCAAGGCAACAAATCCGGCCGTGTTATATAGTAGGCCATGTTCTAACGTTTAAAATGCTCATTAAATCATCAAAATCTTTTTTCAAATTTCGAATGTTGTGAGTTTTTGAAAAATGATTAATGTAAATTATCTTCTACTGTTTAAAAATAATTATGGTATTTAAGAGACATTAAAAAATTTAAAGCGGAATTTAAAAACTTTAATAGAATTTAAGAAAAAACTAATGAATAGGTTTCGAAAATTTTTGATACTCCACCAAACACTTTTTAAAAAATAATAAAGATAAAATTTCTGACGCTTTTTGTAAAGGAAATTTGACTAAACGAGTAAAAGTTGATTCCTATTACCTAGTAAACAAAGCTGTACTTAAATGGTTCAAACGAATGAGAGCTGATAATGTACCAATTAGTGGCTTGCTGGTAAAATAAAAAGCTTTATATTTAGCAATAGAGTTATGCTTCTAAAATTTTCAATTTTTGGAAGGATGGCTAGACTAAATTAAGAAAAAGCAAACTAATTTGGAGATAATTTGACAAACGCTCTTAAAGATATAAATTGTGACTTTGACATGAATTTACCAGCTCATAAAAAACAATTTACAGACTGACTTTTTTTTTTTTTCAAATTTAAAAGTTTAAACACATGATATATATATATTCCGTTTAGGCCTAAGAATTACTGTTTGTTTGTTTGATTTCTATTCGTTACTTTGAAAATAGTATTTGAAAAAATTTGAAAATAATATTTGAAAAATTCTATAATTCAAAAATCTCTCTAATTCGAACTTTTATTTTTGCCCATAAAAATCGAATCAGAGAGATTGTACTGTATAAGTTTTTCTTTCCTGCGACCTGATTGGAGGAAGTTCAACATAATATTTCCAACCAGGATTAGTCCTCCCACTTATTTTTGACGATTTTGCCATATCTTTAAAGCTGCAAATTTTAAGAAATAGTAAAAAAGCAATGATCAATCATTGCGAGCTGCAATTGATTATACAACTCCATGTAATGAATTTAATGATTAGTTAATACAATTATACGGACATATGAGTGTAATATATGATTTAATTATACAATTTCAGAATATATAAGTTAGATATATATTAATAAATTTTATTAAATCCGCCATTATCATTCTAATACATTCATTTTCTTAGTAAAAGTAAAAATATATTGACTAAACTGTATTTTATTTATGATAATATATGTATATAACAAAGTATTATTAAAGTCTAAAAACAAACTCTACTAATTAAAATCTTGTTCAAAGTCTCTTTTTAACTTTTAATTTATCGATTTTTATAATGCGTTCCATATGAACGCACTCATTCAAATTGATTGTCATTATATTATCTGTTTTGTAATTATCAACTCTAAACGCAATCGTAGAACTAAAAAAATTGCCTGAAAACGTTTGAAGAAAACTGTAATTTTTAAACATGTTGTTGGAGCAGGACCAAAAGCTAGAATTATACCTCGACGCAATACGGAGTATTGTAAATAAGGCGACGCCTTATTTACAATACTCCTTGAAACCAATTGTTATTATTGTGTTGTATAATATATTAAATAATTATGTGTTAAATCGTTTGCATGTGGTTTTTTTTTTTTTTTTATGTATTAATGGAAACAATTATTTTTAAATTATTACATTTGTTTTTAAAAAATGTTTTTTAAAGGACGTAAGGATTTTTTTCTTTAGCTTTTGGGATTTTTAAATGTGTTTGTATGGAGCGGCAATATGTGGTTCTTGTGGAAAGAAACGCCGTGGCATACAGCTAATCGCAGAAATCAACCAGCAACTTTAGGCGGGCAGAGTCATCAATCAGCACCAGCTGCACCTATATAAATAAATAGTTACCTATTTACCATATATAAGTTACTTTTTGTATAGTTATATGGGTACACTCAGCCGTTTATTTAGAACTATCCTTCGGACGTCTTTTATGCTGTAATTTTTAATTTCAATAGCTTGTTGGTTTTTTAAAAAAAAATGTTTATATTTCAAAGGTGATTTGTGTACTAAAATAACTTTGTGAACGTTATTTTCAAACCAAAAGTTTTGCACAAGTTTTTTTTGGGGGGGGCATTTGCTTTTGTAAGATTATTTTTATTTCTTTGTTTGTTTACAATTTTTAATTTATAAATTTGAGATTTGTTTCATATTAAAGATTTAAATTTCTTTTGCTTAACGAATACTGAAATTTCTTTTACTACTTAAATACTTAAGTCCATCTTTTTAAATAAAAAATAGTTCCTCAAAGTTCGTTTTCTCTTCAGTGGAAAGAAAATTTAAATATATTTACGCTTTGTGAAAATTTTTAATTTAGTCACTTAAAAGTGGATTTCCATTTATTTGACATTTTGGTTATTTGAAGTAAAATCTTATTACCTGTAGAACTTCCAACAATCGAGAGTACTGAGTTGGTAGGGTTGAGCGAATCTGGAAAAAAAAAAAGTACGCCTATCGGAATCCAATGCTCTCGGTAATAGTAAATCCGGAGATCTTTTATCGCTAATCCTTTATTTTGGTTTGTTATAGCAAGAATGTTCTAATAGATGGACCTTTAACTCTTTGTTTAAAAACCAAGATATGCGCGTTTGTAATTGTTATAAATAACAATAGCCAAACAATTGGAAACATGTCACGTGAAAATACTTTTATATGAATATCAAGATGACAACAGTCTCATCTCTCCAATTAAGTAAAAAAAATTTATTATGCAAAGTATTGTGAATATGTTTTACTATTTTGTTAAAAATTAGTCTGTCTATTCAGTTACCCTTGTATAACTCCCGTATAACTATTTAACAAAATGTTTTTAAATCATATTTTAGTGAAAAAAATTCAAATACCAAAAAATATCAAAACAAAATATGAAAACAATTTGATTTTCGTTAAAAATTAGAAGTTTAAATCTTTAAGAAAATAGTAAATTCAAAGTGTAGGGAGTAATGGTTGCCAATCTTGATGATCTATGATATGACCTACAATACGTAGAAAATTATTTTTACTTAGTGTATCATATATTGCATTTTTTTTAAACATTAGTTTTGACGTCTAAGTTATTTTTTCAAACAAGATATTAAACAAAGCATGCATAATAATAAAAATGTTTTCAAATATATGAGACATTCTTAATTATAAAATTTATATTTTGCAAAAGTTGGCATTTCATGAGTGGTAAAAACATTTACTGAAAGAAGTTAGAAAACCAAAAATGTCGGTTTAATTTTTAAAATTATTTCCTAAAACGACGCTTAGAATTCAAGCCCGGATAGCATTTCAGTAATTGGCAATTTCTATGATCTAAAACAATTCATTAAAGGTCCATCTATTATAATGTCCTTGGTTATAGCTAGCATTACAACAATAGTTTAAAGTATGTGCTATAAATCCCGTCTTCCGAACCGTTATGGTTTAAAAATCTTACGTTTGTGCTTAAAACGTCTAAATTATTTACTGGTAACATTTTAACTAAAAATTTTGGTCCTCCATAAAAACATACAACCATGAAAGCCAATACAGATTTTGCAAAATTTGATTCATCATTTACTGCTTTACCAAACAACTGTCCCCCATAATAAGTTAGCATAGGTTTAACATAAACTTCATCTAATAATAATATACATTGTTTTTGACCATTGTTGAGTTTTGAAAAAACACTACAAATAAAATTATTATCATCAATGTGTGAAACTTTTGAAGTTAAATGTGTAAGGGTAGCAATACTAGGAAGTTAAAAATCATTTCTTAATTGATTAAATAAACTACGTGACCGTGCAAAATACTCAAAAGCTCAAACAATTACTTCAGGCAAATATTTTTGTTTAAGAATATTACTTAAGTTCATGTTACTCGTCCATTCAAATTGCTGAACTAAAACTGTTTTCTTTTCTGATTTTTCAAAGGAAATCAAATATTGTAATGCCTCATGAACTTGCGACCAACATTTGAACTTATGAACACGATTTTTAACTGAGGAAGCAATAGTACATCTTACTCCAGCATGATAGGCTTTAGATTATAGGTCATTAAATACTATTAAACAATACCAGTATTGTTTTCATGCTCATTTGATTGAATACAACAGCTATTTAATAACAACTATAATAAACAACGGAATCATTAAGTTTTTCTAAAGATAGCAAATTACAAAAATTTTCGAATGAATCATTTTTGTAAAGCTCTTCAAGTTTTGAAAGTTCATCTTCTTTTATTGATCTTACAGAGCTCGTTCTTTTTTCTGGTGGAGGAGTTGGCACTAAACTCTTGGGTATTTGTTCGAACACACTAGATGGATCTCGAGGTCTTTCTCTTCCTTTTACTTTAATAACATGGAAGTTTGGTGGAAAATGTTTTGCACTAACTACAGTGTCATGTTTGTCGGGTATATTTTCTTTTGGGATTGCTTTAATCCATCTTAGACGCACTACTGGGTCTCTCGGTAATCTGAAAATAGTTGTCTTATCTTTTACTGAGTCATAGTTTGAGTTACAACCAGTAACACAACATTTTCTGGACATTTTTAAGTCTTTTGGTAAGGATACAAGTTATTCGTAGTAACTTTTGCCGCTAAATAAATTGCCTCCACATTTTTCAAGCCGTTGCGCGATGAGAAGCCTGTTATTTAAGTACGCCTTAATTTGTACTAACCTCTGCGCCTACCCATAGTAGTGATTATTGTGCAATGATTACGCGCAGTCAAAAATTAGTACGAATTGAAATTCTGCCGGATGTTTAAAGAAGACAGCAAACCCCACTAATCAACATATATTACGGTTTATTACAACATATTGCAATATTATTTAGCGTTCTTGTTAAATTGCTATATATTGTTCAATTAATTGTCCAATAAAATATCAACAAAATTATACAAATGTAATGTGTTTGTAAATGTAATTTAGATGCATTTAAATATGATGTACATAAATTTAATGTGTTTATAAGCAATAACAAGATTGTCGTTAAAATATTCCAGTATTATTGCAGTATTATTGCAGTATTATTGCAGTATTATTGTAGTATTATTGCAGTATTATTGCAATAATACTGCAATAATATTGTAATATTGAATAATAAACAATTGAATATGAGAGGGACTACTAATGCAGCTATTAACGTAGTATTCAAAACAATTGAATATGACTTAACTTAATTTTCAACTGTTTTGAATACCGCCTTAAGAGTTACATTAAAACTTATATCGTACTTCAAAATCTTTTTATTTTTTTGTTTGGCAGCTTTTTGTGATTTTAATAGGGATGTACCGAAGCATTGGCTTCGGCTTCGACATGCCGAAGCTTAAACACTTTTGCCAAAGTTTCGGCTTCGGCCGATGCCAGGGTCAATTTTTGCCAAATCATTGGCTTCGGCGAGTAATTTTAGGTAATTAAAGGTGGTAACCTTCTGTTATATTATACAATAAATAATTTTATTGTTTACGATAAAATTACTATAATTCTACTACTTGTAATTTGCTTCTTTACTTCGTTGACGTATCCTGCGGCATATATAGTACATATTGTGACGTGCCGCAAACAATATTGTTATTTTTTGCTTACTTATAGAAATCAATGGGTGCTTTTCTATATTTTATTTAAGATCTATGTTTAATTAATTTCCATTGTTGTTTTTACTAAAACCTATTTTCAATGTATTTTTTTTTTTTTTGCGCTTGAAACGTACGCTAGAAAACTTATTTTTTTATTACCACTCAAAAACATGAATAGTTAATGAGTTTATAACTACAGAATCAGATATCGTACATAAATCAATGGCAGTTTAATGAAATACTTGTGTGCATACTGAAACACTTTGAAAGCGCAACGAAAGATATGAGTGCAAAGACTGCGTGTACACTGTTAAAAAGTTTGCCGTAGATTTAACAGAGAATGTCCAGCAGCAAAGTGCCAGCACTTTCTCTGTAAAAATTAACGGTTTCCGTAGTTTCTATTTTCCGTAAAAACCAAAGGAAAAAGTCCATAAAAAAAGATACAGAACTTTCTCCGTAAAATTTAGGTAGATGATAGAATCAAAAATCTATTCCGACGTTTTTCCCTGCTTTGCATTTAGCTCTGTTACTAGAAATTTATTTAGCCCTGTTACTAGAAATTTATTCTGACGACAAGATCTTCTTTCAGATGCCTTATTTTATATTTGTGAAATTTTGTTATTATTATCATTATTTTTTTTTTTGGCATATATATAGTTGTAATACAACCAACAAATGTAATAAAAAAAAAAAAAAAAAAACGCTTGAAGTTTTGTATAAATAATGACCCGACAATAAATTATTGTTTTTAATAATTGCGTAGCGTAAAAAAAAAGTATATATTTATAATTTACTTCAACAGTCATGTGGCTTATAATTTTGCCTTGTCGCGCGGCGACGAGAGATCGATTCCTTATGAGGGTTTATGTTTTTGTGTGTACATTTATGTTATATTTTAAAGTATTTAGTTCTAGTTTTATGCGTAATGTCTATGATTGTTGTTAATAAAAAGTTATATTGTTTATAAAATTTTATTTATAATAAAAATTAAGAAGTGTGCACACATAGACTGACTTAAACGTTTAAGCTTTTTGCGATACACCTAAATAATAATTTTTTTTTATAAACAAGTATAAAAGTATATCATCACAACTGACCCTCATCATTGTACTTTCGAGTTTTTCATGGCAAAAAGAAGAGCATTTTTGTGGAGTAAATCCATGATTTCAGCTGGCAGCCTTTCCAGAAAACTTTGAAAATATCTATTCAATTATCTAGCATAGCACTCGAAGATTCAGATTTAGGTACATATAAATTCAAAGTTGGTTTGAAACCAAGGCATGAACCTAAGAAAAACTTTCAATAGTAGTATTTCATTTTAAAAGATGCAATCAAAGTTATATAAATACAAATAAATGATTAAATAATTACTTAACAATTATTAACATTAAAACTTCTATTCTACAGATAACTTTGTCAAAAACCACAATTTTAAATAAACTAAAAATATTGTT